AGCCGGTGCTGCCGCGGCCGCCGTTGTCCCCGGACGCGCTGGGCGCGCGGGGCGAGGCGGTGCGGCTGCAGCTGCAGGGCGAGGAGCTTCGGCTGCAGGAGGAGAGCGTGCGGCTGCACCAGATCAACACCTACCTCAGCGACCGCATCTCGCTCCACCGCCGCCTGCCCGAGCGCTGGAACCCGCTGTGAGTCGGGTCGGGCCGCGGGCTCGCCACCTGCGAAGTGCGGGGAACGGGCGCGCCCTGCTGAGTCTGCCTCGGAAGTAGGCAGCGCAAGGGCTCCGATCTGGTGTGGGGAGGCGGGATTTTTTTTTTTTAAAGTAAACCTAGGGAAGTCTCCGAAATGGACGAGTCTGTTACAAGTGGTCTCTTGGCTCCCTCTCCCTTGAAAAAACTGGTAATTTTCAACAAACTGGTTCGGGGCCGAGCGTGTGTAAGGCGAGAGGCATCCCTCGACCTCACGCAGCCCACGGTTAGCTCCGCTCTTCCGGCGTGCCTGTGTCGCGGGGAAACCGGCGACTCTCGGGCAGAGCGGGCTCCAAGCATCCGCCTGGGTGTGCCTGAGCCACTGAGTATGCAAGAGACACAGAGGCGGCTGGGAGGTGAAAGTGGTGAAAAGTTCAGGTCCGGAGTAGAAAGCCTCCTTCCCTCTCCGGGGCTGCATTGCTGGGCTTTGGGTGGAGGGCTGCAGGGGAGCGGTTGGCGGGAAGGGCCCCTGAGCCGCGGTCCAGCCCAACTCGCTCGTGGGATGGCGCAGGCTTGGAGCGGGTGCGGTCAGTCGCCAGGTTCCTGTTGGAGCTGCCGGCTGGGTGTTGGGCCCCTGCCTAGGTGAGAGCCGAGGACCAAGCTGGTAAACAGGAGGAAGGCCAGGTGGTTGCTGCGGTTGTCCCTGGGGTGCCTAGTTTTTTTCCTTCACTTTGACTTGTTAGGGTTCTTCCAGTTAGCACTGGAAAAGACATGGGGAAAAGAGGGCGCAGAAATGGCTAGGGACACAGCCTGCTGTGTGCATCAGGTACGTGGCGCCCTCTGCCCTTACGTGTGCCTTGCTATACAGGGGTGGAAATAGGTTCAGAGGAGATAGGTGACTCACCTACTTGGAAAGGGGTGGAACCGGCCTGGGAAACTGTGACCCTCCTGGCCTCCTTGGCCCCGTGCTGATCTCATGCAAAGTTTAGTCGGTTTTGAACTTCATATGTCCCTGATTTTCAGTATCTGTTCATGCTTAACCCTATACTTCTGCTGGAGGCATTTTTCATTGTTAAACTTTTTGAATAAAACTTTGTTGGTATTTTCCCAGCATTTCCACCACTTCAGCCAAATGGTTTAGTGCGTGCTTAGCTCCTGGAAACCCCAGAGGTGCTCTCTGAGGCCCCATCCAGGGGAAGCTTTCAGTTCAGTCCAAGGTACACACCCAGCCCCTGGGAGACACCATCCTGGCTCTTTTGCTCCAGGTCAGTGATCGAGAGCAAAGGATTTGAGCCTCTTTGAGCCTCAGTTTCCCTCTGTGCCAAACAGGAAACTCATAAAAGCCAGTCTATGTAACAGTGGGTAGAAAGAACACAACCTAGGAGTTAATAAAGCACTGGCACCTGGGAACACACTATGTCCTCACTCTTGGTGTTTTCTCCTTTCCTGATTGCCACCAACATATTCAGGAAGTTGATTTTGAGAGTCATCCAGGGATTAGTCAAAAGTTTTTCTTTTCAGGATCCAACTTCCTTTATTGTCCAACGTCATGAATATCTCTTTGAAACACTGTGGATGACCTGTGGGCTGTATAGTATCCTGTCTCCATGGTGATGGCAGCTACCCTGTGTCCTATGAGGATTTTCAAATAGACCCTGCTGTTGCATTGACCCTGGGAAGTTAATCTAAACCCAGCATGATGGGCCTGTGAATGCCCTGCCTCTAATTTCTGCAGCAAGGCCTGTTGTGTTATTCTTGCCCAGCATGAAAGGTGGGGTCTCAGCTGGGCCAGGCTTTAAGGCTTAGTTGAGGTGTAGTTTCCTTGTGATCAGTAAGCCTTGCATGAAGTCTCACTTCTATTGTAAGGTAGTCCCCTCTTATCCTGGGGAGATAGGTTTCCAGATTCCCAGTGGATGCCTGAAACCTCAGACAGTACCAAACTCTATCTGTTAAGCACTATGGTGCCATGATAATCAGTCTGATAACTGAGATGGTTACTAAGTGGTTAACGAGTAGTGTATATATAATGTGGATACATTGGGCAAAAGGGTGATTCATGCCTCCGGCAAGACGAGATTTCAACATGTTACTCAACTTAAAACTTATAAATTGTTTATTTCTGGAATTTTCCATTTAATGTTTTTGGACTGTGGTTGACTGGCTAATTGAAGCCACAGATAAAAGAGGACTTCCTTCGTTGCTACAGAGGTGAGGAGTGAACAGGGATCTTGATAGTAGGAGAAACTAGAATGGCAGATTAAGAATTTTTGCAGTTGAGGGATGGGGTCCCCCAGGAGTCTTACTTAATAAGCAGAGGGGTAGTTGAGGCCCTGAATGTCAGAGGAGGGTGGGAATATGCATTCAAGCCATGCCCCAGAGGTCACAGCAGATCTGGGGCACAGCTGACCTGCAGGCCAGATCCTTTATTTGTTCCTTCTTTGGTTGGGACAATTATTTACCTGTTTATTTTAATTATAAAAACACTACATATTTGCACGAGAAATTTTAGCAGATACAGAGAACCAAAAAAGAAAAATCACCAATTAACTTAGCACCCAGGGAGAACCATTGTTAACATTTTGCTATGTACCCTTCTAAACTTTCCCAGGTATAGAAATATGTTAAAAAAATATGTCTGTTGGTATTTGGGTGAGAAGAGGCTCCAACACTGGCATGCACACGTTTTTAACAGAAGACTTTGGACGACAGTAGGAAACCTGCTGCATAAGAGGCAAAGTGTTGGGCATGACTTCCTAGTATCTGCAAGGCTTGGCACTGTGTGTGCCTCCCGGACAGGGCCAGACCCTTAAAGATAGATTTTGAAGTGTGGCTCTCCTGAGAGACCCTGTGTAGACTCTTAATAGTTCAGATGCACAGCTATATAGCTGTTAGTTACAGTGCTGAGGAGAAGGCGCATACATGATGGAGGATCCTTGAACGGTACTTTACTAAATACAGGGTTTGCAACACTTCACAGATACCTTCTCATTTGATCCTAGCAAGGACAGGGAACTTTACTCCAGGGTAATAGTAAACCAGTGTAGGGAGGTAGCTAGCTGGGTTTGCAGCCCTGGGGAACTTTGTTTATTAATGTTGATGCCAGGTACCTTCCCCAGAATACTGAAGTCTGAATTTCTGTGGGTAGGGCCTAGGCTGAGTGTGATAGGTAACAGTGGTTAACAGCTGCTGATTAGGGCCTGTGGATTTCTCACTCAGCAGAGTTGGGAATGCTTTTGAGAATGTGAGAGAATTCCAAAATTAGAGGAAGTAAGGCTGAATAGTAGTTCAAGTGCAGTTGAAACTAGTGATGATATCACAGATATTTGTCACAAGCAACTGGTGGCTAATAATACTGTACCGAATTTGAAAAAAATTGGTGTTCATAGAATAGAAGGCCTTGAGAGGATCACTATAAGTTCATTGTCATTTGCATTCTGACCTGTGCAGCAGGAAGTTAGGGAGGCAAAAGTGCCCCAGGTCTGTGTATTTCCTCACCCACATCCTGGGGTTTCTGGGCATGTGATCACCAGCCAGTCTCTGCTATGTCCGCTGTCTAGGAGTGAATTCATACCCAGATGTTTGCGTTTGTTCACGGCTTCATCTGGTTTTAGCTTTGAGAGTGCTATGACTGCAGATGTGTGTCTGAGATCAGGCATCAGAACTTGGGACGTGAGTCTCAAAGTAGCTCTCTATAGGTAATTTGACAAAATGAGTTCTTCCTGCTAGAGTTGGCACGAGGCAGTTAGTCAGAATTTCTTTTTACAGAGAAATAGCCTGCTTGTCTGTTCTCATAACAGAATTGTAAAACAGCACACATGGTGTGGAGATCAGACTAAAGTTTCTCTGCCTTCTCCAGTAAGTTTGCAAACTGTAGGTTATTTTATTAGTTCTTATTTGACCCATCTTGTGGTTATTAGAATGGCGTTCTTTGAGTCAGTATTTCTGAGCCATGTAATCTGATATATACTGGTTAATATTCTCACCATCTTTTCCCTACCTTTTTCTTTTATTCCTTTTGTATCCCTGTGTTTTAGGGGTGTCTCTAGCATATTGCTCTCTTTTATGTTATTACTAAAAAAAAAAATTACAGGACTGGGATATACCTTAGTGACAGAGCACCTGCCTAGCATGTGTGAAACTCAGGAATCAATCCCCAGCATCACACAAAGTAAAACAAAATTCCAAATCAACAATCTTTTTTTTTTTCTTGAGACTGGGTCTCACTATGTAGTTCATGCTGGCCTTGAACTCACTTTGTAGTCTAGGCTGGCCACGTACTCACAAGGATCCTCTTGCCTCAGCCTCCTGAGTGCTGGGATTATAGGCATGTGCCACCACACCTGGCCAACAATCTCTACTGTTAAGTAGATATTTGTATTCATTTATATCTGTTGTGCTACTGATTGATATCTTTGGATTTAATTATGCCATTTTATGTTATATATTTGTTATGTTCTTTGTCTTGGTTACTTATCTCTCATTGCTGAGACAAAATACCCAATACCCAAAATTAAGGAAGGAAAGCTAGGAGGCAGAAGATAGCAAAGCAACAAGAGCAATGTGGGGAATGGCAGTGCCTGTAAGCCTCTTTTCCTCCCTTATATTGTAAGAAGGCTACCCCCACCCAGGGGGCAGCACTCACATAGTTAACCTTCTAAACTTCTCACACTGACACAATGAACAACATCCTAGAGCAGGAAGGGCATGTCCTTTGCACCCCAGGATGTAGAACGGCTGGTCACTTAGCCAAACTTCTAGACTCCCCAAGTTGACACAGTGTTATCAACCCTCACACTCTTATTTTGTCTTCTTTTTTCCTGCTGCTTTTTGAGTTGATAGAGGCTTTCCCCTTCTCATTCTATTTCCTCTGTGCTTACTTAGCAGTTATATTATCTATTTCTTATCTTTTGCCAGTAGAAGTTCTGTGTTGACTTTAAAAGTAGTTATTTTTTGTATTATGATTCTTTTGGTTGACAGTGACTGCATACCCGATACCAACTGATTTAACTATAAAGAGAAGATATTCTGGCATAGGAAAGTCTGGGATTAGAAGCAAGTTTAGTTATTCTGATCAGGGGTACAAATGTTGCCAGCTGAAAATGTTGATTGGTCAGGCTTGAGGCACATGTTTATTTGTAGAGGTCAGTGTTGTGTGTGTCTACGTGTGTACATGTGTGTTTGTGTGTTCAACCCTATAAAAACCATATAGACTGAGAGTCAGGGAAGCGTAGTTCCTAAAAGAGAAATCAAGGTACCAGATCATGAAGAGGAAGCGTTTGGGGGCAGATAAAACACACAAATGCACCTTAAGATCTCCCTTGCCTGTTCTAGAGAGGATGTGGATTTTTGTTATTTTTCTAAAAGACATTTTTGTGATCACTGTAATAAGGATAAAAGAAGATCAGGAGGAATTTCCCAACTCCATTCATTTGTATCCATCCGAAATACAGGCTTTTTGTGGTCTCTACCCAATAGGGTTGCTGTGAAGGCCGAATGGAATCCTGCCTGTAAGGTGCTTAGCATACTGCTTGTCATGTGGTGGCGCATGTCATGTATAACCTGATATGGTAGAAAGGTGACTTAGCTACTTCTTATTTTATCTTCTTTTTTCCTGCCTTCACAAAGGCAGTGTACCAGCAGCTTAGTGCTACATGATGGTTTAATGTGACTCGGCATTCCATTTAGCTCTGAGCTTCTGCTTCTCCCCTAGGCAGAAGTACAACCTCAAAGTGATGCATAGCTGTCCTGTAATCAAAGGATACAGAGCCCTTTCTCGTGCGCAGCTTTGTTTCAGTCCAGGAAAAGACAGTGTGTTTTCTGGCAGGAAACTTGGAGACATTGGGTAGGGTATGTTGAGCTTCATGAAGGAGCATGCCTTTAGGGGATGTTTTAAAGAAAGACAGATTACCCCAGGCCAAGGAGAAAGGAGAGGGCTGAGTGTTAAATTGCCCAGTGAAGGCATTTGAAGAAAAATGACTCAGCTTTTAAAAAAAATCATTTTTGGTAGTAACAAAAAATTGTACCTGTTCATTGTAGAACCAGTTTTAAAATGCAGAAGAGGAGAATCAGATAACCCCACTTTTCAGAGATCACCATTGGCAGCATTTTTTGGCACAGTTCTTTCTATTGTTTATTGTTTATATGTGAGCACACGCACACACATTGTTTAGAGAATTGGCCATTTGCAGATTTGTCCTCTGCTCTTCTGATTTAACATCATAGTGTGACTGTTCTCTTTTATCATTAAATGTTCTCTGAAAATGTATTTGGCAGCCGCTAGCATTTCTTCACCCAATTGTCCTGTGCTTCATTTCTTCCTTGTTGGATGTTTATGTGGTAGCTTTTTGCTGTTATAAATCATGTTCTAGAGAATACATTTGTACAACAAGCTTACTTCAGGGTATCGTTATTTCCTAAGGCAAGACATTCTTTTTTTTTTTTTTTTCTTTTTGACACAGGGTCTCACTATGCTGGCCTTGAGCTCACTTTGTACCTCAGGCTGGTCTGGAACTAACAACGACCTTCCTGCCTCAGCTTCCCGAGTGCTGGGATTATAGGTGTGTGCCACCACGCCCGGCGACATTCTTAAATGTAGAGATATGAGGTCAAGGAAGAACTTTCTAGAGCTCGGAATATGCACTGGCAATTTGGCAGCCAATTTTTGTATGATTTAGGTGTCATGAAGAAGGAGCCCACTAACCATTTTAAGACAGTGTCTCTACTTTTGAGTTTTACAGAGCAGCAAAAATGCAAAAACAAGAGAGGGGCTGACATGATTCCAACTCTTTGTTCAAGCAGAGAACAGGTACATTTTCATCCAAAGCAGTAAGGGTGTGAATCAAACTGAAGGGTAGTTCTTTGCATTGAATAAACTACCTCACTTTGAAAACCTTGCTTCACCATCCTTCTTTTCACTTACTTCTCCTTGAACCTGAGCATGTTTAAAGCTAAGTGTTAGCTATATCTCTTCTTAAAGGTTAAAAAAAAACCTTTATATTTAGGTTTATGAAACCTTTTTTCATGTAAGTGTGTTAGCTTTGAATTCTTTAACAAATAACTGAGATAAAATCAACTTACAAAAAGATTTATTTTGGCTCCAGTTTTGAAAGCTTTAGCCCATGATGAGCAGGTAGCCCTGTTTCTTTGGGCCTGTGGCTGCATGGTGTGGTGGGGATGAGTGAGAGCAAACTGGTCCCTTCTTGGCTGGGAGCCAAAGAGGAGGAGAGACCGGGGCCCCAAGTCTCCTTGGAGGATATGCTCCCAGTGACCCTCAAACTTCCCACCGTGCCCCAGCTCTTAATGGTACTACCCCCTTTCAGTAGCGCCAGGCTGAGGTCCAGGCCTTTAACACAGGGGCCTTTGGGGGCTATTCTAGATCCAAACGATAGCAGTAAACAGTTAATTCTTCCTGAGGTTCACAGTGGGCTACACCTCAGCGCTATACAGTTTCTCTATGCATTCTGTCTGCTACTCAGGGGCTAAATAGTCCAGACACATATGTTAATATTTTTATACATATTTGATCTGTCACCCCACTTGTTCAGAAAGGCATTGCTTCAGCTCTCTAGTAGCTGACTGGTCTTCAGTACTTATCTCCTGTCTGAATAATTCCAGCTGATCACCTGCCAGGCCCCAGTGGTCAAACTCTGGTTCTGCTGTCCCGGGGATATCGCTGTGCTTGCCATTAGCTACGTGGTAATTGTACTGCTGGTGATTTCCAGGCACAGCCCTTACTCAGTCTGAGGATAGAATTCTGTGTCAACTAAGGAGGAAACCTTCAATGCATTGCTACTACTAAACAAAGGGGGAGCCTGTTGGTTCCCGTAACTGCCAGTAAGGGGGGCCTTAGCCACACCTCATCACACATCTGCCCCATCACAGAGTGGAGAAGGCTGGCATACTGGGAGGACCCTCTGCAGAGCCCTTCCCAGATGTTTGTGTGTTCTAATGTACACAGCCAGCATATCACCTTTGTGCAGACGGTCCCTGCTGGTCGCTGCGGAAAGGGAGGGAAGGGCAAGCATGGGAGAAAGGGAATACCTGCTGAGGTAGTGCTAGTGTGTAGTGAAGGGCCAGTACCTGTCTGAGACCGGTCTGGGGGCTCCCAGGGGAGAGTTGAGCATCTCCTGAAGGAGGACAGGGAGTTTGCCAAGTAGAGAGGAGCTAAGGGCACGCCAGGCAGAGGGAACAGTTGGAGGAAAGGCCTGGCGGTGGTGTTGGAACAGACAGGTCGGGGGACAAGTGATTGTCTTGTTTCTGATTCTGCCTAGTTTATGTATTGCACAAACCTGCAAATTGATCTCAGTTTACAAACAGTATCCCACAGAGCCAAGCATGGTGGCACCTGTCTCAGGTCCTTGGGAGCCTGAGGCAGGAGGATTGTTATGAGTTTGAGGCCAGCCGGGGCTACTTAGTGAGTTCAAGGCCAGCCTGACTACATTGTGAGACCCTGTCTCAAAACAAACAAACAAACAAACAAAACCAATATTCCATAGGCGAAGGTTGTTCAGCATCTTGGTGAGAACATCCTTGTCATCTGCTGGGGCTCTTGTGGCAGGCGGTGGGGGTCTCTGGGAGAGCCTCTAGCAGATTACTTCCCACTCCCCAGGGAAGCCTGGAGACCCTGACTTGTGACCTCTCTTTCATTTCTTCTCCAGCTCCAGCCTTGGCTGGGTTCTCGATTTCTAAAGTTCTGTTGTTTTTGTAGGTGCAAAGAGAAGAAGTATGACTATGAAAATTTGCCCACCACATCTGTTATCATAGCATTTTATAATGAAGCCTGGTCAACACTCCTTCGGACAGTTTACAGTGTTCTCGAGACATCCCCGGACATCCTGGTAGAAGAAGTTATCTTGGTAGATGACTACAGTGACAAAAGTAAGACCCCACAGGAACTCCGGGCAGAGCCTGGCCTTCTATGGCAGTTGGCAGGGAGTTGGGGAGAGTGCAACGAAGGAGGGGTGAGGAGGCCCAGTAAAGATGGGTTTGCTGCATCCTGTGTGCCTAATGGTGACCACTGGGAGAGCAGTCCAGGTGCAGGAACGGCCCACACAGAAGCTGAAATGAGGGTGGGGAGTGATATGGGTGGGGAGGCTGAGGGACGGTAGGACCAGATCACGTAGGGCCTTGGAGGCCACATAAGGCCTTGAGGCTTCAGTGTGGGAAGCCATCACAGGCTTAAGGGAGACAGGAAGGTCCCAGTTCGTCTGAAAAACTTTCTCAGTCTGCTGTGTGGAGAGCAGCCTATGGCAGGGGCAGTCTCAGGCGAGGATGGAAATGAGGATGGGCTGGGGTTCTGTGCACGGCAAGAATCTTGGCTTGTCCGTGACTGGAGCTGTCCGTAGGGTGACATCATCCAGTGACTTTAGTGACTAGCAGAAGCAGAGGCAGCTGAGCTTAATTGAGGAGAAATGTCAAGGCTGTGGTGACAGGTAGGACTCTGGGCCTCATTGTTAGAGCCTGTTTCAAGCTAAACTACCCAAGAGACAAGCAGCTGTGCTTCCCGGGCTGGGGCTCTGGGTGAGGTGCTGCTTAGTTTGTCTGATTTAAGAGCTGGCATGCAAGTGTTCTAATTGGCGTGGGTGTTGGACTGTTCTTGCAGACACTCAGAATTACAGTGATTCACACAAGGTAGAGACAGCACTGTCGTGTCACAAGTCTGGTGTGATAGTTGAGGGTGGTGTTTGGGGTTTGGTACCAGCCCCAATTTCCGTCTGCTGCAGAAAGTTGTGCTGTCTTGGCCTGGCCAGACTGGCTTCCACCCTGCCCCCACCTTGGCCAGCCAGAGGGGAGAAAGAGGAGGGAGTAACCTTTCTCTTTAAGGGCAGCACCTGGAAATCCCCGTTGCTTGCATCCCATGGGGCAGGACAGGGCTGCCTGGCCGTACCTAGCTATAAGGGAGGCTGGGAAATTCAGCCTTTATCCTGGTGGCCGTGTGCTAAACCAAAGACCAGGAAGAGAATGGGGATTAGCGGACAAGCAGCAGCGTCCACAGCACTCAGGCTGGAGTTTGATGCTGAGGGGAACCTTGTAGGCACTGAGCTATGGGGTCAGGGTGCCTGGGTCTCAGGGGCTTCACCATGAACTGGTTGTGGCAGTATGGGTAATACTTATCCTCTCTGAGCCTCAGTTTCTCACCTGTGACTGGGTTTATCCATACGTATGTCAGTGTTGCAGTGAGGAATAAATGAGGACTGAACTTCATGTGGCTGCCAGCCCATGATAGGTGCTCCTGTAGCAGCCAGCGCGTAGTAGGTACTTATCTACCTTTCCTTTTCCTCCCCCCAGAACTGTTTAAATCTGTGTTTGTAAATGCCAGTTGTAGGTCACAGTGCATGGAGCCGAATCCCTCCGGCAACACCTAGTGACAATGCAACTTTGAGCAGTGACGTTGATCACTTTCCACCTTGGCCTCAGCTCCTATACAGTGGGAATAAGAATAGTTCTTACCTTGTAGGGTCGTTCTGAGGGGTAAGGTAAAGTGGGTAATGTGTTGGTTAGTGCTACCAGAGAGGCAGCTTCTATTAAATGGAAACTTCTATATTTTTGAAATATTGTGAAAACTGTAAAATGAAAAAAGCACCACTTCACCAAGGTATTACTATAAAAACAAATATCAGGTGGCTTACTTTGTATTTATTGCATCAGTAGCTCCTCAGCAGGTGGCAGTAGGGGACACTGTGCACCGCCTCTGCGAAGCTCCATTCTTGCCATCCGTAGGGCTGGGTGGCCAAGCCCTCCCTTCATCCCCTGGTGGTGACATCGAGCACGGAATGGGCCCGAGGACCTGGACTGAGTTCAGCAGTACTCCCTGCCACCTTACTGCTTTCTGCAGTGTCAGGATGAGCTTGATAAAGGGAGCAACCCCCGGATGCAGGAAGATGGCTTCAGCAGACATGAAATTAATGCTCACAGAAACCTCTCATGAATGCAGGGAGGCTGCTTATGTGCTTAGAAGTATTCGCTGGTACTGCAGCTAACTAGCTTTGCTTGCAGAATCACTGCCCTTGTTCTTGCCATCAGCTTACTGCAGTTATATTTAGGATTTAAAAAGAAAACCAGTGAATTTTCGAGTGTCAAGTATGTGTAGAGAAGCATTTTCATAAACTGAAGCACCCGAGACCATTTTACACCACTTCGATGGCTGAGGACTTTGAGCCAATGCCCTGAAGTTCTCTCCTTTTCCTTTCACACGAATGGGTTCCCACCTCCTCCCCCGACCCACTGAGGTGTGGCTGGATGGACCTGCAGCCTCAGAGCCCCACCTGTGAACCTGGGAGGCCTGGAGGCCAGCGCTCCCCGAGGCCGTACCCTCTCGGCTCACTGCCTTTTCTGCAAACTGGCAGGAGCACACACTCCCGGCAGATTTTGCTTTGTTTTTTTAATGAGGGTGAGAAATTGTGAGAGAGAGCCCTGAGGGCCAGTGTGAAGCTTGTGGGTTCAAATTATGTTTCCTTGGCTTGCTTGCTGTGTGACCCTGCACAAGTTACTTAGCTACTGTGACCCAATGTCCATCCGTGGAATGAGGATAATACTGGTGCTTACCTCACAGGATTGTTAAGGAGATCAGATGAGGTGTCTATAAATCACTCAGAATTTAGCACAACAGGCCCTCTTTATTGTTAGTTGCTGCTTCTAGTATATATACTACAGTGCTCCCAGGAAAACTACTAACATAATTACTGTTTCACGTTTTCATTAGTATAAAGAAATACCTAATATAAGCTACCTAGGAGGAAGAGGTTTCTTTAGCTCACAGTTTTGGAAGTTCAAGGGCACGGCACAGGCATCAGCTCAGTTCTTGGCTTCAGCACATCATGGTGGACGGCATTGGTAGGGTGGAGTGGGGTTGTGGAGCGCATGATTATATCTCCAGCCAGGAAAAGATGGGGAGACACTGGGTCCCAGCAACTCTGCACTGAAAGCATCTCTCTGGGAGCTAAGGCCTCCCTTTAGGCCCCACCTCCCCAAGGTTTCACTGCCTCCCAACGGAGTCCCCTGGGAACCAAGCCTGTAATCACAGTGCACCCCTGGGGACATAGACCATATTCAAACAGTAGCACTGTACATAGTTGGACGGTTCATGTGTTTCTAGTTTTTAAGTGTTTACAAGCTATAAAGTATTTTTTGGTATTAACTTCATTATATGTTCAGCTGTCACACCGTTCACCTATTTAGAGTGTACAATTCAAAATGCATGTGTTTTGTTAGGGAGCAAATGATTCTGGAATTCTCTGTCCCATCTTCCCTGGGCATCACAGCATTTCCAGTGGTTCTGGGTGAGCTGAGGCCTCCCGGGAGGCAAACAAAGGAGTTGCATGTCTCTTTCATCTTCTGGGGACAGGGAGGCCCTGGAAGGACCCAACTTGGAGGAGGTGCTCTGCTTGGAGCTGTCACGTGACCCTTGCTGCTCCGCTTGTCCCCCAGAGCACTTGAAGGAGCGCTTGGCCAATGAGCTGTCAGGCCTGCCCAAGGTACGCCTGATCCGAGCCAGCAAGAGGGAAGGCCTGGTTCGAGCCCGGCTGCTGGGGGCTTCCGTGGCCAGAGGCGAAGTGCTGACCTTCCTGGACTGTCACTGTGAGTGCCACGAGGGGTGGCTGGAGCCACTGCTGCAGAGGTGCGTGAGCTGCCCACGAGGGGAGGGCAGTGGGTGGAGAGGTACCGACTGGAGCAGCAGTGGGTGCCTGGGTCAGATGCTGCTGGGGCAAGTCCCCTGTGCGTGTGCTGCTAACCGATGTCACACATGGGGAGTGCTTCACTGCAGCAGGCATACGAGGCCCTCAATTGCTGTTTGCTTTCTCAAAAAATTTCATTACTAGTACATGTTTGCAGTACCTAATGATTGCATTTATCGTGGGAAGTTTGTACACAACACATCTTAGTTCTTTTTTTGTCCCCTGTTCCTTCCAATGCTTGTTCCCCTTCGCATTTGAGAAAGATCTGTTTCCACTTCTTTCTTCAATTCTCTTTTACTCATCTCGTTTTCTTTCCCTCCCTCAACCCTCCCTCCATCTCTTGTTCCCCTTCACATGTAAAAAAGATCTCCCTACTTTCTATTATCTTTTATTTTGCTCTTTATTTATATTTTGGGTTTTTCCTGTAAGAGAAACCGTGCAATATTTAAGCTTGTGTGTCTTAATTTATTTCACTTAACATTGCTGTCTTGAGGTGCATCCATTCACTGACAAATGCTTTAAGTTTATCCTTCTTTATGGCAGAGTATCACTCCATTGTGTAAATACTGCATTTTCTTTATCCATTCATCTAGGGATGGGCCTGTAGGCTGTTTCCAAGATTTATTTATTATAAATTGTGCTTCTGTAAATATGGGTATGCATGTATCACTGTAATATGATGACTTTAACTTTTTGGGGAAGATACCTAGAAGGGGAATAGAATCCTCTTCTAATTGTTAAAAGCAGGCGGATCACAGACCTCTTGGGCAGATTCCAAGATACTGCCTGGCCCCTGGCAAAGGCCAAGTCCCAAGGAACACATAACCTGCCAGCAAGCTGGCTGGAACTATGAGCAGCCTACTTTTTACAAAAGGGGAGGCCTGTCCCAGGCCTGGTGTCAAGGTGGAACCTTCCTTGGCTGTGTAGGGCTGACTTGCAGTGGCATTCCTAGCATTCACTGCACTGTCAGGAGCACTACCTGATTGACATGACAACTAAGAACACCTCAGATTTCAAAAAGTTCCTGGAGGAAAAGGGTGATCCACCTGCTCGGCTCTTTTAACAATGTCTTCAATTTATTTAAAGAAGTCGGTGTTGGTGGGTACCCAGTCTGCAGCTTTCTTTTTTTTTTTTTGGTACTGGGACTCAAACTCAGGACCTTGCATTTGCCAGGCTGGCATTCCTGCCACTGACCTATATCCCTGGCCTTGCAGCTTTCTTAATTTGGTGACTTCATAGGTTTGAGTCTCTGACTTACCCAGCTTCTGTTGAAAGGTGCGGTTTCCCCTAAAATCATGATTTCTGCGCAGTATAGTATTTATCATGCCCCCTCTGGTGGGTTGGTGTTATTCTAGGCACTTGACAGCTCAAGGCTGGTTGAATTCTGTTTCACTGTTTTGTGTGGTGTGCCCCTCAGAATTTTCAGTTTTCAAATTTGAGATAACACCCGCATCTCCCAAAAACCCAGAGAAATCTAGTCTGTACCTGTGGTCCAGTCTTGATTCATCTTCCTTGGGTTGGTATCAAATGCAAAGAAACACAGTCTGAGGCATGCTGAAGATGGCTGAGTTTGCAGTGTTTGTGAAGACAGTAGCTGAAACATACTCAGGCTGATACCTGCATCTGGAATTACAGCCTTTTTTGCTATGCGTACTGTCACAATACCAGAAATGAAAAGAACAGCAATAGTTCCAGGTTCTCTGCCAACCATCTTGGAAACATTGCCCCCAGGAATCTCCGTGTTAACCCTATGATTGGGAATTATCCTTTTGATGTCACCAGTGAGACATCGGCTTCTGAGAGGTCAGGTGGGTTACTAGTGTCACCTAGCAAGTAAGGAGCAGGAGTAGACTTTGTAATCTAACTGCAAAGCTGACCCTTTGGTCTGGGCACATCTCTGTTCCTAGGAAGCTCATTCTTTTTTGACGTTAAGATGTTTCTTTGTGATTAATCCTTTTGCACTTCTGAGAAATTAAAGTCACCTTTGACTTTTCCATGTCTTGACTTTCACAGAGAGTTTGAAGTGTAGACAGAATGCCTGTGGATAGATACAGAATACTGAAGCTGTGAGACTTTTCCTATTAAAGTTTCCTTCCCAGTGTCCACCATGATGGTCGCCTCCACTCCCCACCCCTCCAGCACACAGCTGGAGACCCCGCATAAGGGAAGCAGGCTCCTCCCACGGGTCTTCCGTCTTTCTTCTGGGAGGATGAGGACAGTCCATTCTCCACTTTCCTAATTGTCCTGCCGCCCACCACAGAGATGAGATGGGATGTCTGGGGTGTGTGCAGGATCCATGAGAAGGAGTCGGCAGTGGTGTGCCCGGTGATCGATGTCATCGACTGGAAAACCTTCGAGTACTTGGGCAACGCTGGGGAGCCCCAGATCGGCGGCTTCGACTGGCGGCTGGTGTTCACGTGGCACGTGGTCCCCGAGCGGGACAGGTTGCGGATGAAGTCCCCCATCGATGTCATCAGGTCAGGCTTTCCGCTAGGGGACTCTGTTTGGAGTGCGCCTCGCTGCCTCCGGCTGACATGTCAGTGAACGTCCCCATTGGACGAGATGTTAGCTGTTGGCTTCCTTTCCCGGCTCCTACTCTTCGCAGAGTACTTGTTTATTTTTATTCAGTATCTTTGCTATGCAGATACATTTTCTGTTGGTATACTTTAATTTATTTAATTTGTAAAAAGGGATAAATATACATCACTTAAAATGTACCTTTCTTTTCCTTTGATGGTGCCGGGGATTGAAGCCAGGGCTTCACACACATTCAGCTTGTTTCCCAGACTTTGGTCTCTAGGATTCTAAAAGCACAAGCAGGCTGGGGGTGTAGCTCACTTTTCCTAGCATGCCTGAGGCCTTGGGTTTAATCCTCAGTGCTGCATTAAAAAATAAACAAATATATAAAAGCACAAGGGTTGGGCTTTTTTCTTTTTGTGGTACTAAGGATTGTACCGAGGGCCTCACCCATACTGGGCAAGTGCTGTACCACTGACCTACATTCCTAGCTCCTTTAGATTTTATTTTGAGATGAGATCTCACTGAGTTGTTCAGCTAGTCTTGAACTCTCAGTCTTCCTGCCTCCGCCTCCCAATAGCAGGGGTTATAGGTGTGTGCTGCGGCACCTGGCCCACCCCCGGGCCTTTGCTCCCGCTGGCGTGCCTTACATTTCTCTTCTTGGCCAGCATCCTTCATCTTGCGTGCGGCTCTCAACCTTCTCCAGCAAACTCAGCCCTCCCCTCCCCGCCCCTGGCCTCTTCTGGACCCTGGCTGGGCTTCACGTGTGTGTTCTACACAGAGGTCTTGTCTGTGGGCTGTCTGTGAGCTTCCTCAGGCAGCAGCATGAGAAATGTCTGTGCCTCTGGGCCCAGCCTGGTGCGGGGCACAGTGTGAATACAGGGTGTGCTTAGACATGGATTAGTGGAAAGGGTTGGGGTGGGAGTGTGTTTCACCCAGCTGTGACGGTTCCTGCTGCCTGCGTTGAAACATGGACACCTCTCCTCTCTAGGTCTCCAACGATGGCTGGTGGGTTGTTTGCTGTGAGTAAGAAATATTTTGAGTATCTGGGATCTTATGATACAGGAATGGAAGTCTGGGGAGGCGAAAACCTCGAATTCTCCTTTAGGGTAAGTCTTCCAGTCTCCCTTTTGGATTCATTCTTAACCTGTTCTCTCCTTCCTTTCCTCTTTCCTTCCCTCCTCCCTCTCTTCCTCTCCCCTCTCTCTTTTCTCTGTCTCTCTCCTCTCTCTCTTTCTGGTGGGGTTTGCTGAGAACCTGGTAGGCTTTTCTTCCACATTGGCAGTTTAGCTCATAATTCTGAACAGTGATAGTAACGTGTATCTTACTTACTTAGTTGTTCTCCTTTGTAAAAGTGTATGTTTAACCGCTTGGGGCTGGAAAGGGTTTTGCCGGTCACCTAGTTCTTTCTCAGTCTGCAGAAGGGAGGAACTAAGACCAGGAGAAGGACAGTGACTTTTTCAAGGCCACTCAGTGGCAGAAACTGGGCTGAAACAGAGCTCCCAGGAGCCTTTATTTGACCAACAGCTTATGAAGTCGGCTTTCTGTTTAGGACAGACTTTTAAATGTGGGCACAGCAGAGTTGTTGGAGAAATGTGTTCAGAAAGTAGATTCACAGGCACAGTCCACAAAGTCAGACTGGAGAGATTTGTGTGGGGCCAGGAATCTGCCTTTTGTAACCGCCCCACTGCCGATCATGCCCGATGTGGGCCATGGAAACCCCTCTGAAAGTCCTTAGCACTGTAGTGGATTTTCCAGTCAGTGGAATCTTACATTTTTTAGTATCACAACCTAAAATTTTTAATAATACTATATCTATTATTCTATCCTCATGGAAAGAGTTAGTTAGTAAAGAACTTGGCCTTCCGCCGTGGACTCACGCCCTCTGTTGTGAGCGCCAGATGCTGTGCTAGTTTGTAGTGTCCTTGGGAAGATGAGAAGTTAGGGCTGCAGCTGACTCTGCCTGTTGAGTTTGGGGTGTGCTTTTAATGGTCTTTCTGCCTCTTCCCTAGGTGTCAGGCTGCCCTGCCTCTTCTAGAAGCTCTCCCTCTCTCCCTTCCAAACCCCTCTTCTTCCTCGCTGCTTTCCTATCTTCTGTGGCTAGGCGATCAGGTAACCAAGCATCGTTTTGCTTAATAAGTGGGTCGCAGCAAGGTCTCTGGGCCTTTCAGGGAGTCAGGTGCATGAGCTGTTGGTGCCTGGACTTTGGGGTCTTGGTTTGTCTTTGGGGCTGCTTTCTTGCTGTGCGCCTGCATTCCGTGTCATGAGCATGCTGAGGAAGTGGCCTGCCCCATGGAGGCTGGGTGACTTGGCTGTGTCCACCACCCTGTGTGCCTCTCTCCCTGGGGACTGATACTCATTCCCTGCTCACCGCCCCGGCCTCCCTTCCGCTCTGTGTGCAGATCTGGCAGTGTGGTGGGACTTTGGAAACACACCCGTGTTCCCATGTTGGCCACGTTTTCCCCAAGCAAGCGCCCTACTCCCGCAGCAAGGCCCTGGCCAACAGTGTTCGCGCAGCTGAAGTGTGGATGGATGAGTTCAAAGAGCTCTACTACCACCGCAACCCCCGTGCGCGCCTGGTGAGTCCCGTTCCCCGCAACCCCTCCTCCTCACCCCTCACCCCAGGCCTCATCTGAACAAAGCAGCTAATGCTTTTTGTCATTCCCTGACGTGACAGCTCTGGTTCCAGAGACAGTGACAAATCAGGCCCTCATGATAAGAGTATGAGAAGATTTTATTCCTCTGTTTATAATAATAACGTGCATCCCATCAGTTCTTATTCAGAGTGGTTATGTTCTATAAAGCCTTCCCAAATCCTGAATTAACGAAAGAGGGATCTGCCCCTTCTTTCCCACCAGGTCTTCGGGTTAGATGCAGTATATAGTCTGCTGCTTCTGTGCAGGCCGGGGCGTGTGTGTCAGAGGCCAGCTTTGCCCACCACTTGTCCTGCGTTTACATCTGAGGGCCACTTGGGAATTCAGAAGGTGTTGCTCTAAGACAGTGGTGGCAAACCTAGGGCACACGTGCCACGTGGGCTGTTTGTATCACTGAAAGCTCTAGAGGGTTCACCATCACTGCTGTAAGATTTCTCCCCTTGCTGCTTGGTAGAAATCTCCTGAGTCCTTACAGCAACCCTGCAAGAGAGCTGTCAGGTTCTCATTTGAAAGATGAGGAAATGGAGGCTCTAAGAGGGGAGATTTGAGGACTTGTCCAAGGCCTTGTAGCTGATTGGGTAGGACCGGGCCCAGGGACTGCGTGCTCCAATGCACCTCTGCTCCACAGAGCCTGCGGGATCTCAGCCTGGCCTTCCGCTCGGCCCTCGACCTCAGGGCTCTGTGGTCTTTGTCTCTGCCTCCTCTGTCGTGCCAGGTGCTGTGGAGAAAAACATCTACTCTTCGTTGCCACCCAGCCTGGAACCCATGGGTCCTGTTCCCCAGGCTTCTAAAGAACTCTCCAGAGGGGTGTTGAGTACGCCGTTAGGCCAAATGCCCAGTGGCCTCGGTGTTAAAATGGGTTGAAGCTGGGGGCATGGTGGCTCCCATCAAAGAAAGAACTAGGAGCAGCAGAAATCTCAAGTTGTATTAAATAGTTACGTATTGTTACCACTTTGTGAACTATCTCACGTGTCAGTGTTTAGTCACTTAACATCATGCGACAGGGACAGTCGCATTGTGGCCTTCAGCACTGTTCTCGAGGCTGAGCAGTGGCCGTCCTGAATAGAAGCTTGCTTTATTTCACTGAAAGTTCCCGTTGGTTTTGCCCATGAACCCAAACTTCCACAAGCGTTTCCTACTGCAGCATTTTGCTCTTAACCATGTGCACGTGTGGTAAGTGTGTGTGCATATATACGTTTCTGACTATTAAGCATGTAAGGTTTTCACTCACGATTGCATCTAGCATTTTCAGATATTTATAGTAAGTCGTGCTGAGACTGGTGGGTCTGTGGTTGGGTTTGCGGATGTCATCTGTGTTCACAGCCGCCCAGTGATAGTGTGGCTGCAGGGTTTGGCTCCCTGGCTCCATCCGCACGTGCGTTGTCTCCTGCCCTTGCGCACTGTCACCCCTGCCCATAGTGAGATCGGGTGGGGGTGGAATTGTGCGCATGACGGCCTCCTAGGAGGTGCGGGACTGCACGGCGCCCACACAGGACCGACACCTGCTGGAAGCGTCAGTGAGGGGAGGAGCACCGGGCCCGCAGAGACTCACTGCCCTGTCTCCCCAGGAGCCCTACGGGGATGTGTCGGAGAGGAGGCAGCTCCGGGACAAGCTCCACTGTAAGGACTTCAGGTGGTTCCTGGAGACTGTGTACCCAGAACTGCACGTGCCCGAGGACCGGCCCGGCTTCTTCGGGATGGTGAGCCGGGCGGCTGTGGTGTGCAGGGTGTTCCTGGACGCTGAGCCAGAGAAGCCCCTTTGTAGGGACCACAGGCCTCCTCACCCCCGTGTCCTTTCACCTCTGCACCCACTGTCCTTCCCTCTCCCCATGGCGCTCCCCCAGGTCCAGAATATAGCTGGGCGCCATCTGCAAATGGGTAGGTATAACCTTTCTATTTTCTAGATGAGGAACCGAGGCTTCCTTGGCGTTCCCACGTCCTGGTTTTTACTGATGCCTTATCACATTACTTCTGCTCTCCACAGGCTGACCACTCAGGAATCCCCAGCTTAGGAGTCCACCAGGGCAGTAGGGGGTTAGGAGAGTCACTTCTAGTCTTTCACAAGAAAGACTAGAAATATTTCTGGATGAGGCCAACAAAGATGTCCAGTATTTATAGTTTTGCTAGAAATTGTGCCATTTAGTGAGGTCTCCCTCTGTTATTTTGGTCAGAAGTGCTGGTGCTCCGTTCTGGAAGCCTTGGATGGGTACGAAGCAGAATATCCGTGTTAAGTTCAATTTTCATTATAAAAATGTTCACACATTCTGATCACAGAGAGAATGGTGCAGTGAATCCTGCTGTGGTGATGCTGGAATAACCGAGTTTCTGCCACTCTTGCTTTCCCTCTCCCCGCTCCACCCTCCATATTTTCCTCTTTTTAAACAAATCCCAGGCATTTTGTACTCCTCTGTACTTTAGTATGAATCCTTATAAAATCTGGACATTATCATACACATCTGCAGACCATTATCATACTACTCTAATGAACACTCATTTCTTGGTATTACTTAGTATCCTGTTCTAATTCATATTCCCCAAATTCTTCAAATCTCTTTTTGGGGCAGTTGGCTGAATCTAGCAGTGGTCCACACATTCTATTTGGCTTTTGTGTCTTGTTTGTTTGATGTCTTTTTGAGACAGGGTCTCCCCATGCAATTCAGGCTGGCCTTGAGCTCACTTTGTAGCCCAGGCTGGTCTCAAACTCACAAGGATCCTCCTGCCCCAGCCTCTCGACTGCTGGGATTACAGGCGTGCACCATCATACCCAGCATACTAAGTCTCTTTTAATCTAATTTCTTTTCCTTTTTATTTCTTCTGTTAATATTTTTAATTTTTTGAAAAAGCAGGATCTGTTGTCTGTGGAATGTCTGGCTCTTTGAATTACCCCTTGTTCCTGTCCACTGTCTTTAAGCTGTCCCTGTCTCTTGTATTTCTTCACAGTGGGAGAGGGGTCTCAAGGTTTGATTGGAGTTGGGATCCACCTCCTTTTGGCAAGAATGCTTGTGGGTGGTACCTTACATTCCTAGTGTGCCTTACAGGAGCACAAGGTCTGGACATCTTGCTTTTAGTGGGGAGGTGCGCCATGGACCCACAGGTAGCTCCCTTCGCCTTCTGTCTCACGGTTTTGGTAGTCATGGACAGCCGTTGCTTAGATCCAGTGTTTCAAGTTGCCAAATGGTGCTTTTCTCGTTTCTCCCATATTTATTTGCTGAATGTTCCTGTAAAGAAAAACGTTACCCCATTAATTAATGAAAATCAGTATCCATGAAGTTTAGAATTCATGCAGCAGAGGCATGTCACATTCTTAAGTACTGCTGTTCATTTGCCTATTTTTCAGATAAGAATTGGTGCGGCCGTATCCTGCAGTTGTACCCACTGGGCTGCTTTTCTGTTTTTTTTTTTTTTTTTCTTCCTTTTTTCTTGGTACAGGGAATTGAACTTGAGACCTTGAGCTTGCCAGGCGGGCACTGTGCCACTGAGCTATATCCCCGGCGCTGCTTTTCTGTTTCTTAATGCTTTTGTTTTTGCGGCTCTTTCTTTTCTTGACTGTGATCATAAGCTAATGCAGATTTGCTGGGATGTGAATGCCTCTCCCCCTAATTTATGTGTGGGAAACAATACCCAGAGCAACAGTCTTTGGGAGGTGTTTGAGTGTCAGGGGCTCTGCCCTTGTGAATGGATTAACTGTGCTGTAAAAAGTGCTTGTGGGCTGGGTTTGCTCTCTTGCGCCCCCTGCCTTCTGCTATGTGAGGATGCGGTAGGGAGGCCCTCATCCGGGCAGTGCCTTGACCTTGGGCTTTCTAGGCCTCAGAACTGAGGAAATAAATTTCTGTTATTTTATTTCTTTATTTGCAGTACTAGGAACTTTCACACTTAGCCATATCCCCAACCTATTTTTACTTTGCTTTTTTTTTGAAACACAGTCTATGTCATTAAATTTCTGAGTCTGGGCTCATGCTTGCAATTTTCCTGCCTCAGCCTCCCAGAGTATTGGGACTACATGGGTGCACCACCACACCCAGCTTACATTTCTGTTCTTTATAAGTCTTTAATTAATATTCAAATTAGCCCATCTGTCTTGGTTACTTTTCTCTCGTTGCTGGGACAAAATACCTGATGCCCAAAATTAAGGAAGGAAAGGTTTATTTCACTTACAGTTTGTGGAGGTTTCAGTCTGTACTTGGCAGATTATAAGGCAGAGTGGCACATGGCAGAGAGCTACAACTCAGGGCGGCAGAACACAGCAAAAGCAACAAACACACACCAGGGCAGAATGGGGGAGGAGTGGCCTCAAGCACTCTCTTCCTCTCCCTTACATATGCAAACTCTCCACCCCAGGGCGGGTGCAGCTCTCACACCCTTAATCAAACTCTAATAGCCTGACCCATGGCCGCATGAGGCTTTGGGGGGACACACAGACATAAACCATAACACCATCTTTGGTTAGTAGCAGCCTCTATGTTCTGGTCTTTATGACCTTTGATCCCATTACATGGGCTTAATTTAGAGCAAGTCCCACACTTCTTTAATACTATTTCCACTTCTCCCAAAGCCCTGAGCCTTTGGGATTCTGAGTCCACCATGTTATTGCTGGCGGTGCTGATGGCTGCAGGTTTCAGTGCCTCTCGGCCACAGTGACCCACAGAAGCACACTGTGAGCCACGTGTCATTTAAAATGTTTTAGTAAGCATATTAAAGAAACAAACTTAATAATGCACTGAATCCAGTATATCCCACATATTGTTTTGACATATAGCTAATATAAAATTCATCAAGATATTTAATACTGTTTTACATTAAACCTCAAAGTCTGGCATTTATTTCACGCTTATACCACATCTTAATTTGAATTAGTCCTATTCCCAGTGTCTGCCATGCAGAGTAACCCTTTTTCAGTGGGCACAGAAAGGACTTACATATCTTTGAGAAACAAATCCTGAGCTCCTATTGGCACCTCAGATTTGCCTGTGATCTTATAAAATCTTTTCTTCTTGGATGTTCTACTTCTGTTTTCTTACACTAAAAATTCCGGTTTCTAACCCAGTAATATTAACATAATTACTTACTTGCTTTATCCCAACATATACTTAAAATAGTTTCAAAACAATATGACACCATAGTAGTCAGTGTTATACCGCAGGAAGTTTAAGATTTCTTTGCCACTCTGTTTATTGAGTGTATTTCACTAAGGAAGTGGTGTTAAACATACTGTGTTCTAAAGTTACTTAAAAAAGCCCCGGGCAGAAAATGGAGCTCACGTGGTAATGCACTCTCCTACCTAGCATGCACAAGGCCCCGTGGTCCATCCTCAGGACCACAGAATAGCGTTTCTCTGTACCCGCGGCCGGCTTGATTAGGTTAGCTTGCTCAGTCTCAGTTGGAGGCCATAGCCCAGGTGCATCTAGAGCAGTGCAGCACTAAGGTTGCTGCTGAGAAATAAAGAGATCGGAGCTTTCAGGGTAGCGAGAACTGAATCTCTCATCCGCCGGTTTAGCGCTGTAAAATGGGGTACAGTTTTCTGCCAACAGTTCTGAGAGGGAAGCCCTGGGAAGACGAGGAAGTACTGGACAGGAGGAAGGGCCCTTCTCGCGGAAGCCACCTCCGGATGCAGGTGTTTCTCTCAGGCTGTTGACCCCCTCCCGGCCCGGCCTGGGATCCGTTGGGGTGTCTCAGGCTGCGCCCAGATGCCGCCTTTGTGTTCTGTTCAGCTCCAGAACAAGGGACTGAAAGAATACTGCTTTGACTACAACCCCCCCGATGAAAACCAGATCTCGGGACACCAGGTCACTCTCTATGCCTGCCACGGGATGGGCCAGAACCAGGTGAGCGTGGGCCATGAGGGGGAGAAGTGAGGCCAAAGCTGTGTGGTTTTTTTTAAAAAGTAGATATTTGATTTTGGGGGGCTGGATGTGCAGCTCAGTGGTAGAGTGCTTGCCTAGCATGTATGAGGCCCTGTGTTCGATCCTTAGCACAGTAAAAATTTTTATTGAGGCTTTTTTTTTTCTTGTACCAGGAATCGAACTCAGGACCTTGTGCTTTCCAGGCATGCGCTGTGCTGCTGAGCTAAATCCCCAGCCCCTGACAATAAAAATTTTTAAAGATCAGAAAATTTTTTTCCATTATGGCAATTATATGTGTTCATTTCAGAACATTTGGAAAATATAAAAAGTAGAGGCAAGAGGCCAAGACCCACAGAGAGCACTCTTTTTTTCCTAGTTTTGTTTACACACACAGGCTTTAGATTACATGTCTTATTAGGTAGTTCTTACCATAATGTCTGCTTGCTTGTTTGTTTGTTTGTTTATTGTGGAACTAGGGGTTGAACCCAGGGCCTTCTCATACTGCTAAGTCACCAAGTTACCTAGGCAAGGCTCAAACTTGTGATCTTCCTGCCTCAGCCTTTAAGTGCTGGGGTTACAGGCCTGTGCTATCACACCTGGCATGAGTGTTTTATACTCCATTAACTTTACCATACTTATGTTGTTAGCTGTTCTTTTTTTTTGTTTGTTTGTTATTAGCTGTTCTTTGGGAATACCACTCCCAGTGGCCTCCTAATACTGGATTATGTTACTGTATGACTGTTCAGCTAACTGCTCATCAGCCTTCCTGTTTTTGTAACTATAAATATCTGCCATAAACATCTTCCATTAGAAAGAAGGAAAAAAAAAACCAGACCTGCATGTTGGATGATTTGCTTAAAATTCATTCTGAAATGGAATTACAGATTTTGATGCATAGGCTCACACTGCAAAATGGTGTTTAGGGAGATCGGCTTAGCTGGGGACCCAGGTGGAGCTTTCCAGATCGATGCTGCATGTCAGGCTGGTTAGGGGAAGCTCGGGCCTGAGGGTTTTGAGGACCAGAACAGAAAGCCCCGCCCAGGAGAGCAGATGGACCTTGTGCAGGATGGGGGCACGTGGAGGATGCAGGGGCTGGGGTGGGACGGCTTCTGGACAGTCAGTGTGTTCCTGAGCTGTGGAGAGCCGGACGCTGGGAGACGAAGGGAAGGAGATTCAGCTGTTTTCTTCCAATCCAGATTCACTCCATTTATATTTGACCATATGGCTCCTTATCATCCACAGTAAACTTGCAAAATTTGGACCCTTGCAACACTAGCTAAATTATTTAGGGCTCTTCGGCACTTTCTAGACCAGGGTTCCTCAAAGCTGACGGTGTCTGTCTGTCTGTCTGGTGACCAACATGTGCTGCCTGCTCTGTCCCTAGTTTTTTGAGTATACCTCCCAGAAGGAAATCCGCTACAACACCCGCCAGCCCGAGGCCTGCGTAGCCGTGGAACCAGGAACAGACGTTCTCATCATGCACCTGTGCGAAGACACTGCCCCGGAGGATCAGAAGTTCCTCCTGCAGGAGGTCCGTGAGTGCGCAGCCTTCCCTGCCCAGTGTGGGGGCCGGGGAGTGTGGAAGCGAGGTGCTTCTTCCGGCATAGTCCCAGTGGGTCTCAGGCATGGGGCTCCTAGGAGACAGGACCTCTGCTGTGACCCAGGGGTACCACGGGGTTGGAGTCCACGGCATTGGGTGTCAGGAGCACTTCCTCCGTTTCAGTCTTTTCTGGCACACTGTGAGGCACAGTGGGCCGTAACAGGAAGTGGAGTTCTCACAGATACATTTGGAGATGGAATGGGGTTTATATGAACGCGACAAGTAGACAAAGCATAGAACAGGAGGCTGGATGCAGGTGTGAGTCACTGCACTGCTCAAGCCTTGTTTTTCTCAGCTCTAAAACAGATGCAAGAATAGCAGCCTGGTCCTTCTCTAGTGCGGATTTCGCGTGTGCCCAGAAACATTCTTTGGAAGCTGGGAAGCGCTGTAGCGGCTCCTTGCGACTTGTGGTGTTATAGCCAAGAAGACTACTGCAGGGTGGAGCTGGCTCTGTAGATGCCATTTGATTTGGAGCCAGGTGTATTTCAGGCCTGAAAAGTACCAGCTCCACTGCATGTGGAGTAAAAGAGGACTTCAAAAGTATTCAAGGAAATAAATCCAAAGAAAATAATTTAATAGAAAAAATTAGTTATCAGCTCCTAGGAAGCCATCATTTTCACCTTGGCCTCAGGGATCTGTTCTTTAGTATTGCTCATAAAGGGGTTAATTCTCAGTATGATTAAAAGTTGGAAGATGTTTTTCTGTAGAAAAATGTGATTTAGCAATGGAATTTGCAATCTGTCCAGAACAGCCAAGCACCATAGTGTTCTTTATTTGATATAAGAAAACAGGAGTGAAGAATGCTTTGGCACATCCCCAGAGGCTCTGACCCTCTTCAGGCCCTTCCTTGGTATCATGAAAACGTTTATCACTGGCTGTTTAAGAAGTGAGTTTGTTTAGAACAGTGAGCAGAAGGGGACTTACTTACTTTTAAGTTTCTGGAATGGCAACTTAGAGCTCTCGGAAGCTCTAGGTTGGTAGTATTTGAGATTCTGTTGCATGAGCTTTTGTCCCAGGGTGTCTCCCCTCAGGATAGGTGGGTTATTCATTCTGCCTGGTTGCTGCTAAGCCGTGATGGAGTTCATCAAGGGGTGTGTAGTGGTGACACCGGCGAGAGGTGACAGGACAGTATAAACCCTAGGCTGGGAGAGAACTGGCCAGGCTAGCTCAGCACTGCTGGGGTGAGACAGGAGCAGGGAGAGGTCACTACGTAAGGTCGTGCCCTCTGGGGAGTGGGAGTTGGAACTAGCGCAGAGCCTGCTGCCTCTGGCTCAGACAGGTAGCAAGCAGGTGAGGAACTCAGGCCAAGTAGCAGGAGGACTCCAAAGCTGGAACTATGGCCATTTTGTGACTCTTTTTAGATATATAAGAGCAAAAGGTCATCAGGGTTGAAATTAGTCAGCGTAGGAGAAGTGAAAGAGATTTTAAAAAGAGAAAGAAAAGTTCTTTGCTCTGATTGTCCTAACGGAAATGCAAGAGTAGGAATGAGATGTAGGGTCTGGCAGAACCCCAGAGCAGCCAGCAGGTGGCGCCATCGTCCCTCGCGGAGCGGGCGCCATACTGGGAGTCCTCGTGCAGGGTGGTTGAAGTTGACGTTTTACACACAGAGCTGTTACCGCACAGTAAATATTTCTGAAATGAAAACCACGCCGTGAGCTCTCCAGAACCTGTTTTAAAGGTAAAGAGACTTTTCTGAGGAGTCGCTTGTAATTGTCTCGAACATCCAGTGTCTGTTTATCGTTTGTAGGATGGTTCTTTACTTCATGAACAGTCCAGGAAATGTGTCCAGGCTGTGAGGAAGGAAGACAGCAACAGTTTTGTCCCGCTTTTGCGAGACTGCTCCAGCTCGGATCATCAGAAATGGTTCTTCAAGGAACGCATGCCGTAGAGCCGCGCTGTGTGGAGCCCCCAAGGCCCGCCCGTGCCCAGCAGAGCCCTAGAAGCGCAGGGTCCAGAGCCCTCCTCAGACTTGGCAGCTTCACTTTTATAAGGAAACCGCTTTGCCTTTTGTGCACATCTTGTTGCATTTTGTGGAAAAAAAAAAAAATGTGAATGAACTTTGTGCTGATGTTGAAACTTTAAAAATGCTCCAAAATAACCTATTTTCTGAAGGTAACCATAGATGTTAACTCTTGCTATTTGGAAAATTGAAACCTTATAATATTTTTTTATCAAGATGTATATTCTACAGCTGTAGCTTTTATTCTCACTAGCAGATACTCCCTTTCGGCACTTACAAGGGTTCCCAGGTGTGAAGATGCCTGCAGTGTGTTTTGCACAAGCTGATAATACCTCAAATATTGGGCTGGAGTTTTCTCAGTGTGGCATGACAGACGCTAGGAACGCTGCATTCATTCCTTCAGGCCATTAAAATTTATTCAGTAAAGAACCCATCTTTTTAGCTGGATGTAGTGACCCATGCCTGTCCTCCTAGCACTCGGTACAGAGGCAGGAGGATCGTGAGTTTGAGGCCAGCCTGGAACATAGTGAGATCCTGTCTCCACAAAAACAGCAAAAAATAAAGATGCATTTTGGTTATGTGTTGGTGTTACTGTCGTAGTCAAACTTTAATATTCACGTTGGCCAAAGGAGACTAACCAAAGCTGAAATCACAAGCAATTTGATCTATCAAGATGATACATGAGCCTGAGGGTGGGTCTTCTAACAGTACCTAGCTGGAGGGTGGCTGGCTGCTTCTGATAATTACTGCCATAACTTTCAAACATGTTTCTAGCATTTTTACCGTGTAGAATTGTCAGGGAGAAACTTAATTTTTTTATGTGCGATTCATTTTTAAGAATTTGTTCCTTAATAGTTGATTAATTCTTTAATGTTGGATTTTGCGCTGCAGCAGCTGGCATGGAAGTTTCAGTAGTTTGGATTTCATAATGATCCCAGATCAACTCAGATCTTGTCAACCGGATAAAGTTAACACGAATGATTAAAAAAGAATCAATGAGCACATGGGCTACAGACCTTTGCTTTCCTACCCTTCGGCTGTGAGGGAGTGAAGACACGTAGATAATTGATCAAACAGCATCGTCTCTCTGCTCAGCTCTTTTTCATACATGTTCTCTCTGAAAGCCTGGCAGGGGTGAGGTTAGCAGTTCCCCGAAAACAGCTCCAGCTGGCTTGGTCCACCTGTACATCTTAACTGCTCTGTACCTTAACTATTCTCTACCTTGTACATTTTAACTGCTCTGTACCTCTTTTTTTTGTCTTTTTGAGACAGGGTCTTGCTATGCAGTTCAGGCTGACCTTGAGCTCACTTTGTAGCCTGGGCTGGTGTCAAACTCACAACGATCCTCCTGCCTCAGCTTCCCAAGTGCTGGGAGGTGTGTACCACCACACCCAGCCTTGATTTTCTTATCTGTAAAATAGGGATCATAAAACCAAGCGTGGGGTAGTTGTGTGGCTGAGCTGTTGCAGGGTAGGCTCCTTCAGTATTAGCCTCTGCTTTCATAAATGCCTGGTGTAACATGTGAAGCACAGTAAACATCAGCGTGTGATGACTGCGAAGTAAACACCGAAGAGCTTTGTCGTTAAGGGATTCCCAGCTGCTCAGCAGGCGGGGGCGTGGGGCGGTGTGCAGTCCCTCACGCAGCTCTGTGCTTTCTCCTGTGTACAAGGCCGAGTGGGCCAGGTCCTCCTCTCATCCAGTCCCTTTGTGGTGATCAGGAGCAGACGGGTTAAGCAGCGCTGCCTGCCTGCACCCCGCTTCCTGCAGTGTCCTAATAAGCTTGATGAAGGGGGCGGCCATCCCACCCCATGAGACGCGAGAAGGCGCCACAGGCAGATGTGAAATCCACACTCAGAGCCTCGGCAGAGTTCAGGGAGGCCACGTAGACATCTTCCCGTGCGTTCACCAGCACCCCAGCTATTTGGTTTTGTAAAATGAGCCCTCGTGCTCTTGCCTTCCGCTATATGCAGCAAGTTTTAGGGTTGGAAAACAAATCAGTAAAAGATTTTTGAACATAGGGCAAGTGTTTTTACCAACTGGGAGGCAATTGATAGTATCTGGAGGAGTCTTTCCCTTTCCTGTGGGGTGAGGAGTCTGGGAAAAGCCCGCAGGGATGTGAGGGAACTCGCATCAATTTCCTTTGCCTGACTGGGTTCTTAACCTCCTCCGCCCAGCCCAGGAAGGTGTGAAGACAGTCCTGGTGGATGGGGTCGGGTTTGTGCATGAGGCGGGGGTGAGGAAAGACAGACAATCGTCGCTGTAGCAGATGGGTTCAGCTTCTAGGACTCCATTGTTTGCCTTTCATGGGAACTCCTTTTGTCTCAGTGGATGACCTGATGCCTCAGGGTCCCACCCATGACCGGATGTCCCTCTCACAGGACACTGGTTTGTATTGGCAGGCACCTGTGTAGCTCTTTGCACTGTGTTCAGTTTATTCCACCAAGGTAGCCACCCTGGGGGAGCCCTGGCCAGAAGGAGAGTGGGGCTTAGGTGTGCGGATCAGGTGTGATCCAGGAGACGCAGCTCGGTGAAACACATGGTGGGTCACTTACAGGTTGCAGACGGGGCAGCAGTCCTTGCAGGGATGACAGGAAGAGGGCAGGCGTAAGGGACGTGCACACTCAGCCTGCCGGTGAGGAACAAGAGAAGGGGGACTAGTGGCCAAAGCCTTTCACGGGGCGGGATCCAGGGTGTTACCCAAGCAGGTTCCTACAGGGAGTTCTAACGGGGATTTAGAGCAAGCAGTCATGGTGTGACTCTGGAGTCACACCTGGACATAGCTGCCGGTCCCTGCCAACTGTGGGCATCCATCTCCCCACAGGGAAGTGGCCACCAGGAGGCAGGTGTATAAAGCAGACTGAGGAAGAGGGGGCGGGGGCATTAGAGAACTGGAAATCATGTCAAGGGTGATGGAGTCCTGCTTCTGGTATGACAAAGCTAGATATTCACAACATATCAAGGCACCATATAACATAAGGTGCTTATAAAATATAAGAATTTACCATTGACTTATTGCCTCAGCTGCAGAAGAGGTGTAAGTATGAACTCTGTTCCTTTCTTAGCATATTTTCTAGTTACACGTTTAGCAACTGCCGTCGGGATTACAATATGCTTCCTACCTTTACCCTAAATTTTGTCAGTGTAGCATGAATTCCAGTAATACTTAGCAACTTCGTACCAGTACAGCTCCATTTCCTACCTTCTCTGTTCTATTATGGACAGATGCGTCCACGTATCTTACAAACTCAGCAGTAGGATGGCCTGACTACTGCTTTAATGAGCAAAAGAAGGGTATTGATAACACACCGAGAAGTCTTTTATGTTCACCAGCCTGTGTCCCATTTCCTGTGTTCTGCTTTACCTCTTAGGAACCCAAGTAACTGTCTGGTGGTGGTCCTTTTCATCTTAAGGACTTTCCTCAGTGGTTCTTCAAGGTAGGTCGTGTGTGTGTGTGTGTGTGTGTGTGTGTGTTTGCATGCTAGGGATTGAATCCAGGGCTTTGCACACCTTTGGCAAGCATGATGCCTGCTGAGCTACATCCCCAGCCTAACAAATTGTCTTTGTTTATTTGGGAATGTTTTTATTCTGCCTTTAGTTTTTGAAAGATAATTTACCTGGGTATAGGATTGTAGTTGGCAAATTTTCGTTTTCTTCCTCGGCACTGAGTTTGCGATTTTACTGTTTTAGGATCACCATTGTTCTAAATGAGAAGTTGCTCATCAATATTGTCGTATGTGAGCAGTCACTTTTCTTCTGCTGTTCTTTAAGATTTTCTCTCTGTCTTTACACTCAGCCTTGCTCCCTACCATGCTTTCAGCTGCCATTCTGATCTTTAGCATCTTTTGCCACTTGAAGAAGCTAATACCTTTCTAAGTAATTCATTCTTGGTTCATTGTGGAACAGTTTTCCCCCTAAACTCTTTTCTCTCACCCTGTATTATGAGCAGCTGGAACAAACCAGGCAGCATCTTCAGTGCTGTGTGGAAATGCCCTTAGCCATATAACAAGGTTTGTCTGTGACAAGTTCTGCTTTCCTCATAGGTGCAGGAGACAAGTTCTCTGCCACAATAGAGCAAAGATTCCTTTCCTTCAGTTTCCAGGAATGTGTTCCTTGCTCCCTGCTGAGCTCTTTTTGGCAGCATCCTCAGCATCCCCCAGCTCCCACCCATACTAAGGATTGAACCCAGGGCCTTCACACAGCCCTGCCAGCCTCCCTCTGCTTTTTGAGACAGGGTCTTGTTAAGTTGCTAAGTCACCCAGGAGGGGCTCAACCTTGTGATCCTCCAGCTTCAGCCTCTCAGAATGCCAGACTGCAGGCATGCATGCACCACCACACTTAGCAAATCCATGTTTTTAGTAGGGGTCTGTTCAAGGAAATGTAGGCTTTCTCGATTAGGCTCCTCAAAATTCCTCCGGCCTCCTCCCACACTGTAGGTGTTTGTTACAGCAGCATCGCACTTCCAGGCACCAAAACATTAATATTCTGTTGCTGTGTAATGAATTATGTAAAATTTAGCAGCTGAAAACAGTCTCCACTTGCTGTCCCCCATTTCTGTGGGTCAGAAGCCATTTCCTGGCTCACCAAGGTTCTCACAGGCCGAAATCAAGGGTTTGGCCTGCTGCTGTCTCATCTGAGACTTGGTATCTTCTAACCAGATCACTGTTTCTTGGCAAAATTCAGTTCCTTGTGGTTGTAGGACTGAGAAGCTCAGCTCCTAGAGCAGTGATGGTGAACCTTTTAGAGACCAGTGCCCACACTGCAACCCAAAACCTGCTTATTTATAGCAAAAACCAACACTGCAGTTAAGCCTGAATACTGAGGTTTTAGTTTAGAAAAAACTCCTACATGAACATCTTTCATCCTAAAAACAAATACATAGCCATAGCCGTAGGTTCGCCACCACTGGCCTAGAGGGTGCTTACTGCGTTTGTGGCTTCCTTGGGGAATAAGTTGGCACCTCAAGATGGAGCCACATGGCTAGGACCTGCAGTGGCCCCTAGGCACTTGGAGTAGCCAAGTTTAGGTTGAATTCCTGGAGCCAGAAACCTGTCAGGGTGATTTATCCCCTCAATGGCAATGCCGAAAAGGCATTACACTTGGAGGTCTGGGTTCAGGGACTCCATCCCTGTTGTCCCAGCCTAAATATTCAAGAAGGCTCCACTTTGAAGATATTAAAGAGCCCCAAGAAATGAAATCTTCACCAGGTGACAAGCTTCTTTCATGGCAGTTGGAAAGGATCTGTTTTATTTATGAGTCAATTCTGGGTTGCTTTATGGGTTGAGTATCTGTTAAACTGAAATGTCTTGGACTACTAGCCAGCTTCCCTTTTCCCTCCTACTCAGTATTTTTCACACTTTAGCGGGCTCTGTGGCACCACCTGGCATCTTGTTAAAGGCTGCTTTGAGTTCATAAGGTCTAGGATGAGTCCCGAAGTTCTGTGCATCACAAGTGCCATATATCACAAACAATAGGGAACACTATTGCTTCTAGTTTGTGAACCATATTTTAAACAGCGAGATATTAAAGTGAGAGGAAGAAGAAGAGAAAGCTCTTAGTTGGCTGAGTCATCATGTCTTCCTTGCATGACACACTAGATGGTGATGTCAGCTCAGGGAATGCAGAGTGCTTTTGTGGAGGCCCAGCTTATCGGTCTAAAACATCCCCCAAGTCAGAGGGCCATGGATGAGACACCTAGGAAGGCTTTGTCTGAGATCACACAGCAAGCTAGAGACAGTGTTCTCTTTGTCGGTACTTACCGTTCCATGTCGTTATCACTGTCCTGAGGGGCCTGGCTTTCCTCTCCCTCCCCTCCCCTCCCCTCCCCTCCTCTCCCCTCTCCTCCTTCTCCTTTCCTCTTTCCATTTACCTTCTCCTCCTTCTCCTTCTCCCCCTTCTTCTTTTTCTTTTTTTGAATGAGAGTCTCAATCTATAGTTCAGGCTAGCCTTGAACTCATGGCATATACCTGCCTCAGCTCCCCAGGTGCTGAGATTACAGGTATGAG